AGGGACAATTTTCTTCCTCGGAAGCCCTCGAGGCAGAACTGAGAAAACCTGCCTAACCCTATCGACGGGAGGCAGCTGCAGCTTCTTCCCGTGCACGAACGCGGGCCGCCAGAGCCTCCATGCCAGGAGTAGACACGAGGCGCAGGCGGGAGGCCGTCTGTTTACCACCTTGTGTGGCCGCGGCCTCAATAACAAAATCGGCGGAGCGACGGCAAGGGTCCGTGACACGATTATCATTGTAAAAGTGAGGGTGGAGCCCCTGCTTGACTCGGGAGAGGGTCTGGGATCTCGTGCCCAGCTTCCCACAACACCGCGTCGCCAGCAAAACACACCTCTTCGAAGAGTAGGCCCCACACCTGTAGCAAAACACTAAAGGTTCCTGGGCCTCATTGTCAATCATCGCGCAAGCTAGGAGGTGCCCCCGTTCCTCGGCATCCTTCAGATTCCGAAAAGCAGTGGGGACCCCTTTGCACCCTACCATCGATCTATCCTGATCCCAGGTGATCGAAAAACACTTAGTGCACCTCCAGACTACCCCCGAGTCGATCTCGCACCAGTCGTGCCAACTCGGATCTCTGACAGCCGCCGTCGTCCGAGGGCCTCTGGCGGCGCGACGGAACTCCATCTTGGGGTAGCAGGAGAGCACCGCATCAAACATTCGAACTAAATCTTTCACACGCTTCACGCACACATCAAGAGCCTCGAGGTCTTCAGTCGGAGCCCCTGGGTGAAGTGTCAGTGCGTGCTTGGCTAACCTATCAGCATCAGCATTTCCCAGTGCAATGCGACGCTCCAAAATCGGTAAAGCCAAAATCACCTCCTCAGACCTGTGGGCAGGGGTGTAGGAGGCAGGTCCCAGACAGCCCTGAGGGTCGTGTTCCATGGCAAGCCTCCTAAGGCCCGCAAACATCTGCTTTGGGCACAGCTGTTCCCGACGACTAGCATTGTGCAGATTAACGGCACCAGAGCAGTCACTGTGAGGGGTGGCAGGGTAATCTATGACACAGCTGAGCGTTGCCATACCAAGATGCTCCGCCGACTGCGGGGTCTGGGAAAAGGTGGGCCATACTGTGCCCATCATCCGTGCCTGAATCTTGTATTCGGGGCCAGGTGCTAGGAACACAGCCCCGAACGCCGCGCGTTGGAGCTCCTTAAACACCTGCTGAGTTGCTGAGCCGTCGACCACGGGCTCACACCCACGGGTCAGCTCAAGAAAATCTTCAAAACTGATTTCCTGGCCCTCGGAATCCTGAAAAGTCGGGTCGAGGTTCCAGGACGGACCAGGGACCACAGGCTGAGGCACAATGAGCCTCGACCAAAACAAAAGCTCCTGGGGCTCGGCAGCTTTCACCTGATCGATCAACTCCTGACTAACATACTCGAGCCTCTGTTCAGCCACACTCGGACAGAGCCATTGCCGATGGAACAGGGAGTCGGGTTCCCCGCACAAAGGACAGCCCCCCCCCGTGGTCATACCCGCACGCTCTCAACCGATCCCCCGTCCAACAGGCACCTGAAAACACAGCCGAGAGCCAATATTTTTGTCTGGCCGTGGTCTTACGTGAACGAAACAACTTGGCGACAGGGTCTGGGCAGACTCGGACATCATTGAAATCATCTAAATCGGTGGCCATCTTGCGCTCAAGGGCTCTCTGCACGCCAGCCTCGAGCTGCTTGGCCACTAACGCTGGGGAGGTGTACATTAAATCAACCACGCGATCGCGGTCATCTCTCCACAGCGCAAAATTATCTGCACGCCACCCAATACGATGGAGGGAGAGGAGCATTCTGTGCACTGGCCCTTTCGACTTACGCCAGACAGTGGGGCCTAACTCAGGAGAGGAACTCGATATTGTACGCCATATCCGAATGTGATCCCGAAAAGAGAAGTGGCACACCGTGGGCTCCGTGAGGCTCTGCCAGAGGCTGTTCGACCACTGAAGTGCTGGGGCAACCGCCTGACGCCGCGCAGGGTCTCCATGAAGTACACACTTCGCTGTCAAGCTTGCTCCCCGATGGGCAGGAGACTTGCCTGACATAAGCACTGAACGTAAAGAAGCCAACTCATGATCAGAAACTCCTAGGACCATGCTGCCACAACCTGCTGCTGGCCGTACTCCTGCAACATATATCTTGTTAATACGCGTACGGTCCCTGGGAAGCTTCTTCTTATAGTGCTGGAGTAGTCGGCTACGAATTCGCATATCGTGAAACCGTTGCCGCCGCCGAGCTCTAGCCTTCTTAGCCGATAACCCCTGACCAGGTGCTAGGTCCACGCCCAGCGACACCGTGGAGTTCGTGGCCGAAGAAGGGCATATTGGCTGAAGTCGCCTGCGCAGCTTGGAAGCTATCCTGCTGGACGACGAAAAAGATACCGCTTTGTCTTCAGCTAGCCGCACACCTAAACGTGTCTGAAAAACCCACTTCAAATCTTTCGCAGCCTTGACCAAATCGTGCATAATAACACTTTCAGGACCATGGGCCGAAACCGTGTCGTCGTCGACGTACGATCCCAGACTAACCCCAGGATTTCGGCTAGACCAGAGATCAAACTCGAACATCGCGTAAACCTTCACGAAAACATCATTGAAAATGTCCCCTGCTGGTAAACCGTTTTGCGCAAACTGAATAAGCGGGCAGTGATGAGCTCCCAGACGGAGTACTCTCGGGGACCTCCAGAGGTTGTACAGGACTTTTATGAGAACCGTTGGTATACGCCAGTACATGGCCCGATCCCTCAGCCACAGGAGCCGAAAAGACTCGTAGTACTTCATACCGTCCCAAATGAAACCTGCCGTGTAATCGCCCTTTTCGGAGGTCTCCTCGGCTCTCACACTTTGTTGCCATATCGATACCTCTGCAGACTGCCCCGCACCAAAAGCCCAGTAAGGCCGTTGGGCCCGATCCAGGAAGGCATCAGCCTGAGGTCTCCGAAGTCGCTCCCAAACTCGAACAAACGATCCCAGAAGAAGAATCGGCCTGAGACCTCCTTTGGGCTTCTCCAGTAAAGGCAGCAGCATCCACAGTAGCTGCGCGGGGAAAAGGCCCAGCCGCTCCACGGCCTCGTAGAGCACGGCCAGGCACGTGAGGCCCTCGTCGGAGAGGGCACCAACATGCCGCGGGTGAAATCCATCTAAGCTCTGGGCGGTGTGGCGGCTGAAGCTCAGAGACGCTTTCCGAAGTTCATCAACGCTGGCCCGAGGGAAACATTGACGATCAGGAATCCAGGCTTCAGGTGGCTTCAAGTCCGCTCCCCAGAATCTTCCCAAAGTCTGAGCTTCATCCTCCAGAAGGGCATGAGGATCCGCAGTAAACACTCCAGGCGCACTCTGGATAACTGTCGGCTGCCAAACCTTTTTCAGCTTCGTAAAACGATGCATTATCCGAGCTGAGCCAGCGAGGGCCCGTTCCTGCCAGAGGTCCCACGACTCCCGCTGTATACGATCCCCATCCACCCCAGCTTGCTCATAGTCCTCGCGAACATCCTCTAACAACTGCTGAGCTAGCTCACGCCACTCCTGCCGATGGGAGCTGCTGTGGTGTTGCCAGCTCCTCGCCAGAGTGCGCATAGCACGGAGGGAGGCATCCAGGCGCACAGACAGGCCTTCGCCAGGGCAGGAGTCCTGGAGCGAAACCTGAAGCTGGATGCAACACTGCACGGCATCCTCGGTCGCATCTTGCACCGTCAGGGTAAATTCTTGAAAAGACTGGTACAGCCACCTCCAACCAGCAGCGATCTGGAGCTTATCCTCAGGATCCTTCGGGCGCTGAAACCCAAGACGACTTGATCGTTCGCGAACGCTCACCCAACTCCTTCGGCTCGAAACCTAAAGTGTGGGCAAGCTCCAGCTCGGCGACGTCCACAAACTGCGCCCATGCATTATTCAAAACCCTCCAGGCCACCGTGGCCTTCTCGTGCATGGCCCAAGCCGCTGCCTGCGCAGCGTGAGCAAGAGCGCCTTGCCACGCTGGTGGTTGAGGCCGCGGTCCGAAAGGCACGTCAACAGGGAGACGCTGATAGCTACGGTACACTAGCTGCCTGAGGGAAAGAGCATCTGCACGAACCTTGAGTTGGACAGGTCTGTGGGGCTTGACATCCCAA